CTTAAATACACCTCATCAAAATTGATTTTAATTCTTCTAAATGCTTGAGTTTTCATCCGTTTCATTTACTTAATAACTGCATGACGTTTTAATTGCATTTAAGTAAGAACTATCAAAATAATACTCTTGCATCTAAAATACTATTAACCAATGAAACAATCGATAAGAACAACTTGATCTAAATAATTAAATTTAAATATACCAATACAATTAAGATAGCAAGAACTAACTAATCTCGTGATAAAGTTATAGCAATTAAAAATTTTAGAGCTTGGTTAAAAGATGAGGATGATATATTGTTCATATGTTTTCACAAAGTAAAGATGCTATGGTGTGCAAGAGAAGCAGCAACAACAACAATATCAAGCTTTTGTCCCACTACGTGAGGTCGGCTACATGAATCTTTTTTTCACCAATTTGTCATGTCAAAAGTGAAATTCTCATTTAAATCTAATAATGAAAAATATCATTTGTAATATTTTCTAACCAAGTCTTTTTAGGTCTACCTCTACCTTTCTTAATATAAGTCACAAATCTAATACCTCAACTTTCCTAACCGAGTTATCGAAAGGCCTCCGTTTGATGTGACCAAACAATCTAAGGCGACTCTATCTAATATTATCTTCCACTGGAGCTACTCCAACTTTTTCACGTATATGCTCATTTCATATCCTATCTCTAAGGGTAAAGCCACTCATCCACCTAAGCGTCCTCATATCTGCAACACTTAACTTAGTATTATGCTTCTCTTTTAATAGCCAACATTCGGCACCATAAAGCATTGCAGGTCTCACCACCATCTTATAGAGTTTTCGCTTAAGTTTGAGGGCGACTTTTCTATCGCACAACAAGCCCGATGCATTCAGTTCATGTTGAGATCAGTTATATTTGGGTTTCATGGTTTGCCAAACATCACTGATTTGGTAAGGCTTCCATTTAAATTGATCGAGCAAAATAAGAATAAGGCTTACTTAAAACTAAACCCACCTTAATTCTAGTATCAAACCTAAGATGGGTTCCAGCGACCAGCATAGCCTCTGCCAAGACCACCCAACCCCTCGCACGTGAGAGCACAAAAAATGGTAATCCAATTCTTCAAGTTGAATATCACCCCTTCCTCCATTCAATAATCTGTCCATTCCTCCTATGCTAGTCAGGGCAACTACCACTAATTAGGAATCATGAGCATGTCTCAAATTGCTAACTTCCATGACAACGTTTGAAATTTATTAGACATTTTTTAGTTTGCTTTACCATATTATTATTGTAGAATCATCCGCATGATAGCTAAAACTTTTGATTACTTATGCATTCTTTGTAAGCATATGGGAAATGCATGAAAATTTAAATTTGATATAAGAAGGCCCCCATTTTAAAATTTGTTCAATTAAAAACAATTGCATGCGAAATTTTGCCTCTTGTTATCAACATACAACTAGGAAAATAAAACGAGCACTCCACCATCAAGGATTGAAAATGTAAAGTTACAGTAATGATAAGAATGACTAGTACCCAAATTAAATATGAAAATTAGCACAGATTTCTGTGTACTATAAATATTGTTATATATCAAAAACATATATTGTTCAAAATAAATCAGTCTTTAACAGACCTTGTCAATTTCCCTCAATAACATAATAGCAAACAAACAGAAAGTGAAAACAATAAAAGAAAACAATTCAATAAACATATTTTGTTCATACTGTTCCATCAATTTCCCTCAATAACATACAAGCAAAACTTTGTTTTTTTTCAGAACACAAACAGAAAGTGAAAACAATATAAGAAAAAAACAATTCAAGAAAGAACGATTAGAATTCAATATTGAATTTTAATATCAACTACAATAAATCATCAAATAAATAATAAAATAAAAACCTAAAATGAAGAGATTACATGCATATTGTATGCTCATTTTAATATTTGTATAATGTTTTAATTACATGCATATTGTATATTACAATTTTAAAGAAAGTACTATATCATCAAGTAATGTAATTTTCATAAAAGGTAATT